GCTCAGCTGACTGTTAACAATAGATAAAAACAAAAGTCAGTTTGACTGCTTTATCTTAATCACTTAGCAAAGACAGTTGAAACCAAAATACAGCCATTCCTGGGCATTTTAAATAATGATGATGATGATGATGATGATGATAATAATAATAATAATAATTTAAGGTATACACTTTATGTAAGCCTCCCAAAATAAGTAAGACTGGAGGCTACAAAGAAGGATTCTCAGTCAGAAACGCCTGATAACTATAAAAAGAAACTATCAAGAGGAGCTGCCAGAGACAGAAGTTTTTAGTTTAAGGCCTACAGATATTCCTAACCTACACAGGTAGGGTTGGTGTTTGCTAGTATGATTATCCATCCCTGAGTAACAGAATTAAAGGTTTTTCTATTAGACACAGAGGTCATACTAGTAAAAAAAATTTTTGCAAGATCAGATGACATTAAATTATTAAACTGTATCTTATGGGGAGGGACAACTGTAACACTAAAAGTTAAATGCTATGCTTACAGTCCTGATAACTGGGGATGTTAAAGCCTGGTGAGGGAACTTCTATACAGTGACATGTTCCAGCTGCTGCAACATTTATTCAGTACTCATGGTTTTTGTTTCTCTCATAGAAGCACCCATCCCCAGATGACTTTACAACCTGTTCTTCCCCAACCAGACTTCAAAAAAAACTGACTTCTAAAAAGCAACTCATGTCCCTCAACTGACTTCTAAAAGGCAACTCATGTCCCTCACGCCGTGCCCCCTCACGTCACCCTCTCTCAGCTCAGAAGAAGCCAAAATGAGCGACACCCCTCTTCTTTCAACAATGGAGCCAAAAATAAATAGACTATCAATATAAGTAATCAATTAAGTCAGGTAAAATCAGGGAGACCGGTTTTGGGTGAGTTCTAAAAAGTTGGAGACGGTTGCCTGAGGGATTAAAATTCCCTCAGTGCTCTTCCCCTACCCTATCAAAGATTTGAAAGGGACACATAAGAAAAGGGGGGAATGATAGACCCAACCTGATCTTTTCTTAAAATTGGGAGCCATCTCACCACAAAGCCATGAAAAGATAATTTTGGCTTTACCATAAATTACTGCAAATTCTGAACCTGCTTGGAATGCCTGCCCGTGCCTTGAACTCACCCATGCCTGGCTCTCTGACCAGATAGCAGCCCTCTCTGAAACTTTAGTGACACCTCATAAATATTGGCCTTCCCTGGCCAGACAACGACCCTCTCTGAGGCTCTAATGGTCCTCATAAATTCTGATGTTGGGGCCAGCAAAAATGTAAACTACCATTAGTGTGATGCTTGTCAGAGTTCTGTTACCTGTAACCCGCCCTTTGTGTAACTTTCTGGGCTATAAAGGTGGGCTGCAGGGAAGCTGCTGTGCTGTCTTGTTCCTACCGTTTTGGGAAGGAGAGGCAGCCCGGCCGGTCGAAATAATAAGCCTGCTTTAATTTGATTTTAATTGGAGTCAGTGGTCTTTTCTTGCGTCCTGGTCTAACAATTCCTTTCTTTTGTAGGTCAATTAGGCCAAAAATGCCTAGGTGATTTGTTAATCAAGATCATTATATTAGTCTGCTTTTCATTAAAGTAACAAAATACTTGAAATTGGGTGATTTTATAAAGAAAAGAGGTTTATTAAGCTCATTGTTGTGAAGGCTAAAAGTTCAAGTTCAGGCAGCCCCATTTGCTTGGCCTCTAGTGAGGGTGTAACAGCAAATGGCAGCATGATGAGAGTGTATGTGAGAGTAAGAGATCATGGTCCAGGTAGGAAGCCAGAGAGAGACTGAAATCCCATGATCCCTTTCCAGGACAGCACCCTCAGCAACCTAAGGACTTCCCTCTAGGATCCACCTCTTCAAATTCCTATCAACTTCCACATCACCTCAGAGGACCAAACCTCCAACACTCGAACCCTTGGGGGACAAACCACAGCCATAGTAATCATCAACTAAAAATGGCAAGGTTTAAGCCAGTCTCTTCCTGTCCAATAGTCTTTCTACTACCCCCATGATGTTGGAGCCTACCATAATTTCACAAGTGATTCTTGATAATGCTCATACATAAAATTCACTCCACAAGAACGGGGGGTGTCCTTGAGCTGTAGCATATGTTAAGAATAAAGCTTGGATACAGAGAAATTTGGCTTTTCATCTTGTTGTAACACTTATTTGTGTTCCTGAGTTTTAGTTTCACCAGCAAAGTAGGCATAGATTATTATAAAATAATAACAAATGTAAGAGTATTACAAAGATTAATAATACTCTATCAAAGAACTTAGCACATAGTAAATGCTCAGTAAGTCTTGTCCATTACTAAAAGGCAATCCCCACATTTAAAAAGATACACACACACACACACACACACACACCTATATATATATAAAAGCAACCATCCATGTGTCTTTGGTATTTGAGTAATGCACAATTGACAGTACTGACACTTTTATAATCAATTTGTTCTTTTATATTTACATGAAATTTACACAACACCCCCACACAACTGTCTGTTTAAAAAAATCCATCTTTATTGAATGAACAATGCACAAACATAAGTCAACTGTTCACGAATCAATAGTCTCTCCACCTCCCACCATTTCATTTGGATGCTTGAAAATAATCCTTATGTCTTTAAACACAACCTGCTTACTTTTAAACTGCTTCAAATGAAACATAAAACACTGTTTTTGAAAGTACAATAATAGGCTCTGGAGTAGGAAGCAATCAGAGTGAGGGCATGATTCTGTACGCCAATCTTCTGCATAGGTGACAAAAGGCTCCGAGTGGTGGTCACCCAAGGCCCATTCCCATCAATACAAATAAACAATATTTAACACTTTATGGTGAACAGAAGGGTTTTTATACATAGATTTAAGTTTTCATAAAAACAACAAGGATGGCATACCCTTTCTATCACAATATATGAGGAAGAAGAGAAGATTATTCAGACAGATCAACTCCCTAGATCACTGAATTTGCTTTATTGCTGTTAGTTGTTGTTTGTTGGTAGGACAGCCACAACAGAGTACCACAAATTGGATGGCTTCGAATAAGAATTTATTGTCTTACAGTTCTGGAGGACACAAGTTCAAAATCAAGGTGTCAGCAGGGCCATGCTCCATCTGTAGGCCCTAAGGAAGGATCTGTTCCTGGTTCCTCCCAGCTTCTGGTAGTTCCTTGGCTAGTGACCAACTATAATTCCCATCTTCACATGGCATTCTCCCTGTGTGCACATCCATCTCTGGGTCCCAGTTTCCCCTTTATCTAAGGACATCAGTCAAACTGGATTAGTGTCCACCTTAATGATCTCAAATTGATTATCTGTAAAGACCTTATTTCCAGATAAAATCACATTTACAGGTACTAGGATTTCTAAGAATTTGGAGAAGACACAATTCAACCCATAACAATTGCCATTTCCTCCTCCGTTGCCAAACACAGTGGTGGCCAGCAGTATTCATTCATTCAATTAGCTTTTGAACCCACAGTCAGGATCTGTTTTGGGTATTGATACAAAAAATGAACTGGACAGAGACCCTGTCCTTGTGAGGTCACACTGTGGAGAAAATCTGAAATACTTTGACAATAAGTACTATTATTGAGCAGGTATTACTATTATAATAGGTACTTTTATTAATATTTTTAATAGTGTGATAAGTGATATATATATATATATCAGACAGGTTTGGAGAGCTCCTAAGTCTGCCCTAGGGGTAAGAAATATTTTCACAAATTGGGTAGATTTTAAGTCCAAAAGGACATACACTAGATGCTCAAAGGTGGTTGCAGTGAGTAGCTCCAAAGTGGAGCGTTTTATGGAGGAAAAAAAAAATAGTACATATACAGGGTAAGAGACAAATGTTAACTCCACGAGGGCTGGCTTCTCAGAACATTACCTCCTGTACCTCCAGGTGTGTGGACAGTGCCAGTTTCATTCCCTAAGTAAGCCTTGCATGAATATAAGGGCATGTCTAAGGCACAGCATGGCCTGCAGTGCGTTGCCCCTTGGAAGAGAAGGCGGCAGCAGTCAGAAGAGCTCTCTCTGTAAACCACACTCTGTGCAAGAGATTAGGGCTGTCAAGTTCATGGTATGTCGATAGTATTAAGAAATCCCAGGAGGTTCTGGAATGCCTGGCACCCGCGCTGCCGATTACCCCCTTTCCCAAGTACAAACGGGGGTGCCGCGCCGAACACTCTAAAGCGGGGTTCTCTGGCTAATGCTGGATTTAAGCACATGGTTTGGCCCGGCAACGTTAAGTGGCGCCTCCTACTGTTTTCCTTTCACGCCAACTTCCCCTTCCAACTCCACAGTTAACTCTCGGGACTACTCGGAACCGTCTCCAGGGTTTCCCCAAGTCCCACTGGAGAAAGCTACGCGCGCACTCTGACGCGCGAGCCCGCATTCCCTCTGGACCGCAGCGACAGCGCACGCGCGCCTTCCCCAGCACTGCGCGCGCCCACGAGCTCCCCGCATCCCCGTGCTCATCCGGGTCTCGGCAAGTCTCAGCCAATGGTGGCCTCTCACAGCCCCCAGGGGCGGGGCTAAGCCTCCCCCCTCACCATGGGCCTGTGGTCACCAAGGGTGCCTCCAGGGGACAGCGACCAGGCGGCTGAGGAAAGGGGAAGAGGCAGGGAGCCCAATATCTGGTCAAGGGTCAACATTTTGGGGGATGAAGCTGTGGCTGCCTCTCTGGAAGCGACTGAAGCGCGAGCAGATTCCCCAGTCAGAGCCAGCGTAGTAAACACACTTCAGAAACGTGAGGTGCCGGGGGTCACGTGGGGAGTGCGCCCTCCAATGAGGAGCCGGGGGCGGAGCCCAGGCCGCTGACGCGGCGGTCGAGGCGGCGGAGTCACCCGGGCAGCCTCGGGACCGGTCACCGGCCGGGAACCGTCCAGCGGCCCCGACCACCGCCTTGGTCCTCCGTGGTCGCTCTCGGGCCGAGAGGCAGCGCCGCCAGCCGAGGCTGAATCGTCTCCCGACCCTCTGCGGGGCTCAGCTGAGGCGGGCCGTTTTCTACGCGCGGGCCGCCTTGGTGGGGCGAGGTTTCCGTGACGAACCTCCCGGGGCTGCCCGTGCCAGCTCGGGCCGTCGTGGCGGCTCGAGCTCCTGGAGTTGGCTCGCGCTCCGGGGGTCCCAGGCCCTCGAAGTTATGCGTCTCCTCCGGGCGATTGCAGCGGGCGCCGGCTCCTAAAGGGCGTCACACGGGGACTCCGCCGTCCGGGCAACCTCCATTCATCTTCCAGCTGCGCCTCCAGCGCCCTCGCCTTCTCACGTCCCCTCCTCGGATTCATTTTATCCTGTCCCCCCTCTGCCGCCCTTTCCTCACTCCTTGGGTGCGGCGGTTCTCCTGGAAGCGCCGGTGTCGGTTATGAGCCGGACCCTCCTGCTTTGAATTGCTGCGTGGAGGAAGTCGGTGGTGACCCGCCTGCCCCGGGCATGGGGGTGAACGCCGTGCACTGGTTCCGAAAGGGGCTCCGGCTCCACGACAACCCCGCCCTGAAGGAGTGCATCCAGGGCGCAGACACCATCCGCTGCGTCTACATCCTCGACCCCTGGTTCGCGGGCTCCTCCAATGTGGGCATCAACAGGTGGCGGTGAGTCCAAAGCTCGTGGGATGTTGATTTCGTGTCAAATGAATCAGGTGTGCGTGAATTCTTTGAGATGGGCCGAATCTGAGGATTTAGAACCAGGACCGCTTTGCTCGTACCGTTTAAAGAATTGTAGATGCTTTCAATGTGAAGTGGAATTTTTGATTTAGTAGTTCTCAGGCCAGAGAGTACTGACGACTTAAAACATCTCGGCCTTCAGAAGTAAATGACATGTCTCTGCGCTGAACTCCTCCCGGCGATTTATGGAGTTGTGTTAGTGGTGGAGTTAAAGATTTAACACCCTCCAGATCTTAGTGGGCTGTGGATTGATTCCCTTGGCCTCATTGTGGCCGTTGAAAGGATTGTGGTCTTTTAATGTTTACGTTTGTGTGTCTAGGTAACTCAGAAGTAATATGGAGAAAAATCATTCATTCAGTACAATCGACTCCAAATCCAGTTTTGTTCCCCCTTGAGGTTACTTGTAGAAAAAGCAAAGAAAACAACATAATCTGATGTTTGCTCAGCTCTTCCTCTCAACTCCTCCTTGTGGCTGACAAGACAAAGCACAGTTTTTCTTTCTAGCAAAATATAATCCTTCTAGGGATCAGAGAACTGGAAGAAATCCTAGAGATATTTTATGATTTTTTCCTGAAAAACCAGGCTAGATGATTGTTAGGCCCCCTGGTGGAAATGAAGGCTTTTGTTCAATGGACAGATTACTGATCACTTACTATATGCCAGGCGTTGATTTAAATGTCAGATGTAGTAGTGAATGAAACAGAGTAAAAAGCCTTGTCCTCCCTCTTCAAACTTGTGTCCCAGATAGTAAAATATATATTTAGTTATTTAGCTGGTGATGAGTGCTGTAAAGGAAAATAGGGCAGAGAAAAGAGATAAGGAAAACAAGAGTAGGTATGGGGTTGCAATTTTAAATATCAATGATCAGTATAAGAATTACAGAGGGGACAGCAGACCCAAAGAGATGAGGGGATGTAAATATCAAGGGGAATAGTCCAGGCAAAAGGAGAAGGCCCTGAGGTGAAAATATGCCTGACCTTTGGAAAAAAAACAACTGATGGAACCAGTATAATTGGAGCACAATAAGTGAGGGAAAAGTAGTAGGAATGAGGTCATAGTTGTCATAGAGCCAGACTGACTGGAGCTTTACAATTACCAAGATTTATGCTTTTTTACTCAGAGTGAAGTGGAAATAATTGCAGGATTATGAGCAGAGAAGTGACGTGATCTAGCTTAAGTTTGAAAAAATTTTTTTCTCTGGTTGTGATTCTGAAAACAAACTGAATTAGGGAGTAGAGGTGGACAAAAAGCAGGAAAACCAGTTAGGATACCATTGCGTTCATCCAGGTGAAATGAGAATGGCATGTACCATAAGTGATAATAGCAGAAGTAATAAGAAGTAGTCAGATGCTGCTTATTTTCTAAAGGCAGAGTACACATAATTTGTTGGTAGATTGAGTACATGATGTGAGATAAAGAAAAAGAACTAGGAATTATTTCAAAATTTGGGGTAGAGGAACTAGGATTGGAGCTGCACTTTGCTAAGAAAATGAAGCCAATCAGAGAAGCCTTTGGGAGAATGATGGGCATTCTCTTTTGGACTTTTAAGTTTGCATGTTTTATACACATCCAGGTGGAAACAGCACATAGGCAGTTGGATATAGCTCAGGACAGAGATCCAGGCAGCAAGTATAAATTGGAGCATTATTAGTTTATAGATAATATACATAGTCAATATAAGCTCCCTTCACCCTCTTTTCTAAGGGCACTAAATTCACCCCTGGGGATAGAGTTCTTGTGACCTAATCATCTCTTTAATGGGGATTAGGGTTCAACATAAGAATTTGAAAGTGCATGACATTCAGTCATTCGTGTATTGAACACATATTTGTCAAGCATCTACTATTCTAGGAATGTGGGGGGTCAGAAAAAAAAACAAAGCAGCCCTAGATCCTCAACCTATTGAAGATTCATTATGGTGGAGCCATGAGACTGTATGAAAATATTATAAAAATGTGTGCAGATTGAGCCTTGGGTACTCTTCATGTTCGAAAATTGTGTAGAAGAAGAACCAGTATAGGGTACTGGAAAGGAGCTGCTAACAAAGTAAGAAATCAAAAGGACTATGGTGTTGTTTGCTTGTTTCTACTGTTGTTTTGTTTTTGGTGGCACTGGCGGACCTCACACATGCTGTGCAACTGCTGTTTACTGAGTTACATCCCCATCCCTAAAAGTATGGTGTTTGACAGGAGAGACTCTTTTGTCTATGTCAAATGCTGCTGATAGATCAAATAAGAGGAAGACTGAAAATTAAACTTGGATTTAGTATTTTGAGGTCTTTTGTAATCTTGTCTGTAGTGGCTTTAGTAGTATCAGAGGCAAAAGTCTTTTTCAAGTGATTACTAAGGACTCATAACATCATGTTCAGAGGTTTTTGCATATTAGTAAGTCACCTACTGTTTTTGAAAGAGAGTGCCCTAGAGCCAATTATTTTATATTTACGTAACTTTATTAATTTCCTATTTATTATAATACCCAAACTCCTTAGATTGGCATTCAAAATCTACCTTTTTGCCTATGCATCTCATTTCCTACTGTTTATAGAATGTGACCTCAACCCTAGCAGGGGTAAAACTCTTATTTTCCTTCGAGGCTTTATTTTCTTTAATCAGAATTCTATAGACTTTTGAGGTCAAGAAATAAATTTTTAAAAATTATTTTACTGGAAAAGTACATTAACAAAACTACTTTTTGATGTTGCCATCATTTTGTTTAAAATCAATGTTTTAACATTAAAGCAATTTTAAAGAACATTGTATTAGAATAAAGTACTTAAACAAATGAATAAAGTACTTTAAACAAATGAAAGTTTACATCTTACAAAAATTACACTCAAAATTTTATTGTAAAATCTTATACACCAATGTTCACAGAAGTATTAGTCATAATCAAAAGGTAGAAATATCCCAAATGTTCATCAATAGATTAATGGAATTTTTTAAAATACAGAATATCTATATATTAAACTGTTATTTGGCCATGAAAAGAGTGAGGTATTGATACATGCAACAACATATGTGAATGAACCTTGAAAACCTGCTAAGTGAAGAAGCCAGTCACAAAATTCCACATATTATGTGCTTTTATTTATAGGAAATGTTTACAGTGGGCAAATATGTAGAAACAAAGTAGAATAATGGCTTCTTAGTACTGGGAAGTTGGGAAGTGTTAGCCAAGAGGCCCAAGGGTTTTTTTGTTTGTTTGTTTGTTTTTCCTTTCTTTCTCTCTGCCGCCCCCCCCTCCCTTCAGTACTGGGGGTTGAACCCAGGGTCTTGCATATGCTATCAAGCACTGAGATATATCTCAGCCCTCCTTCTCAAGGCCCAACCCAAATACCTCATTTCTATAATACCTTTTTTTAAAAAAATTACCTTGCCTGGGGATGATTAAGTCTTCTGAAATCTTATTTTTAGTATGCTTCTCATATACTCTTAGCATTTACTGTCTTCATTTGTGAATACTGGTATTATCTTAGTTTGGGCTGCTATAACAAAATACCTTATAATGGGTGATTTATGAATAACAGAGATTTATTTCTCCCAGTTCCAGATGCTGGGAAGTTCACAGTCAAGGCACCAGCAGATTTGGTGTCTGGTGAGGGCATTTTTCTTCATAGGTGGCACTTTCAATATGTCTTTACATGATAGAATGGGGGGAATAAGCTCCCTTCACCCTCTTTTCTAAGGGCACTAAATTCACCCCTGGGGATAGAGTTCTTGTGACCTAATCATCTCTTTAATGGGGATTAGGGTTCAACATAAGAATTTGAAGGTGCATGACATTCAGTCAATAGCAGTTGTAGTCTTCATATAATCATTTCTTTCTTACTTAACAGAGGTTTTACAATAGTGAATAAAGCAAAAAAAGTTTCTGCCCTTCTGGAGTGTTCATTCTAGTAGGAAAAAACAGATACCTAAACAAATATATGCCAGAATGTGTTAAATGCAATGGAGAAAAATAAAGCAGAATGTGAAAACATCCCTGAAGGAAATAAGCAAGCTATGGGGAAGGAGCCCTTATTGTATTCTCTGAAGCATAGTTGGTATTTGATACAGATTGTTTAAATTTTCCTTAGAAGTCTAGGATTTAGGGATGGAGAAATTATTTTATTTCATTTAGATGCTAACGTATACCTTAAACTCATAATTTAGAAAAGATTTCCAATGAACAGATTACTTTCATTGTTTAAACTTCAATATATTCATTACACGGTTGAAGCTATCATATGTACAGTCTCTTGATTTTTCAGTAACTGAATCTATAAATGCTACCTGCTCTTTCTAGTGTATGGTTTCAGTGGAAGAGATATTGCCATCTCTATTCAGAAGTATTCCTTTTGTCTGGGATCCATTTCAAATACTATGTTCAGGTTTTTTTTTATTATTATTATTGTTTATTCTCTCACCTTTTTCATAAAGAGAGATAAAAAGAGTTTTATCCTCTTTTTAAAGGTTACTTTCAATCAACATTTAAACATGCGTAAAATCAAGCTCTGTGAAACAATAGAACAAAACAAAAAAAGCCCACAACAACAAAGGAACAAAAATGTATCCTTGACTATGTTCTTCTCCTGTAACTGTGTAGCTCAGTTCCTTAATAACTAAACTTCTTGATCAAGATGGCTACAACTTGCTGATTTCCTTTATTTTATCTTCTGCTTACCCTTGAACCAACTTAGAACTAGTCTACAGCTGTACCCCACCCTCCCCAGGCGGAACTCTACCAAAAGTGTTTTTCATCCAAAGGACACTTTTAAACTTTTCACTCCTTGATTTTTTCTCAACATGTGATACATTTTGCCACACCTTTTTCATGCCTTGGTTTTAGTTAGAGACCCTCCTATGTTTGTTTTTCTGCCAAATTTTTATTGGTGTTCTTCCTTCTCTTCTTTTTCTGTTCAGCCCTTAAATGCCCCTGAGGTCTTTGAT